TTGTGTCCGTGCACTTGTTTCCTCAAAAAAATCGTGCTCTATTCGGGAATGCAAATAAATTTCTTTGAAAATATGTGAATTGCTATGTTGTGTCTTCGGTCACCCTGTTTCATTGTATTCAATTCATATGAAAAAGTGGGAGTTTTGTTTGATTTGACAATATGGCGCTTTTGATTACTAACTCTCGTACATTGAATAGACAAAATAGACAGAATACGACAAATCAAAACTCACTTGCTCTTGACTTTTGGGCTTATTTATTCACTCATTCATGGAGGAATTATTGTATGTGAGTGCAGGGCGATTAAAAAAGAGAAAAAAAAAGATTTTCTGTTTAACGTTAAAATCTGGCATTTGTCTATATTAAGTGTTTGTTTAAGTAGATGTTTTTCCAATTTATCTGTATCTTGGAACGATGTTCACACTCCGTCTAAATTAAACTATATTCTGTTTAAATCATAATAGATATTGAATTGAAAAATAATACAATTCTGTACGACACGATTTTTTTTTTAAACGAAAAATTGCAAACAATAAAGTTCAAACCGATTTAGTGATAAAACAAGTAAAATGAGTGATTTATTGAAATCTGCGATGGGATACTTTAATACGAGTCCGATAATTAGCAGCGACGATGAATTCATCGGACAAATTGTTGAAGTTGGTGCTGTGAAACTTCGTGTAAAACGTGTAATCGCAGAAGGTTGGTGGATATTTATTTTACTCTATGAAATGATTGCCTCAGAATTGTCACCGAATGATGTTTCTTTTATTGTTGTTGTTGTTGTTGTTGTTGTTGTCACAAGTGTTCTTTGTATTGTTCGATGCCAATTGTCCATTTATCATGAAAATGACATTGAACAAATCCAACTAAGAAAATTTCCTGTACATATTGACTATTCAAAAGAAGCTTATATAAACAAAAAAAATTGCATGTTGGCATGCAGCTACTTTAACCTTGGCACTCTTTGAACAATAAAATCATAACTGTTTTTTAATGTCTATTACATTTTGTTAATAAAAAATCAATTTTATAAATGCTTTTTTTTTCACATTTAATTCTTGTAGGTGGTTTCGCTTTTGTGTATGTTGTGCAAGACATTCAAAACGAAACAGAATATGCATTGAAACGATTACTAGGCTCTGATAGGCAAGCCTGCGACAATATTATACGTGAATTAAACTTTCATAAACAGTTATCGGGACATCCGAACATAGTTAAATATGTTGCCGCATCGTTTATCAACCACACGAATAGTGCTGAATATCTGCTAGTTTCAGAACTATGCAAAGGCGGCTCATTGATAGATTGCATGGGCACAACGTTCGAGCCCGACACCGTATTGAAAATTATTTATCAAATTAGTAAAGGTATTTCGCATATGCATAACCAAAATCCACCCATTACGCACAGAGACATTAAGGTGGGCTGTTTATTTTTGTTTTCTAATTGTTACATATGAATAAAAATAAATAAAACCAATTGTTTTTTGCTGTACGATTGATAAATTTCACATGCGTTGGATTACAGATAGAAAATTTCCTTTTGACCACCGATGGCGAATTGAAACTATGTGATTTTGGATCGGCTACAACGGATTCATTTACACCAGATGTTTCGTGGTCAGCACAACAACGTGATATGCTGGAAGATCAAGTGAGTTTACATTTATTAGTTTCTGTATATTGAAGATTAATAATTCTCGATTTTCAGTTGGCATTTATAACAACACCGATGTATCGATGTCCCGAACAATTAGATTTATGGTCAAATCATGAAATTGGCCCAAAGAGTGATATTTGGGCGCTGGGCTGTGTCCTTTACTACTTATGTTTTCAAAAGCATCCATTCGAAGATTCGGCCAAATTGAGAATAGTCAATGCAAATTTCAAACTACCAGGTGATTCGAGATACCTCTGTTTTCACGATATAATCAAAGGCTGCCTCCAAGTTGATCCAAATAAACGTTTCGATGTATCGATGGTTCTGGATAGACTCGGAGCAATCTCAGAAACAAAAGGTTGGCCACTGAGAGGACCCCTCAAATTGAATGTAAGTCTACCTAGAGTTGATCAGAAAAAAAGAATGAAAAAAATGGAAATTAATCAATGCGTAATGGAACGTAATGGGAAATGAAATTAAAAAAAGAGAGTATATATTTTAAAGTTATGTAAAGTAAATCAATGACCACAACAACAACATTGCTTAAATTTAAGATTTCATTGTAGTGTTGAGATCGTTGATCACTGTGAAAAAGAGAAAAATTAATATGCTTACTATTTCTAGTACTTGTTAGCATCGTCCACTACTACGTCTTGGTATCATTGTTTGAAACAATGAGATTCTCATTATGAGAATATTCGCGTAGACGTCCGTGCTTATATTTTTGATTGTTGATTTTAATTGTTGTTATAATAATGGAAATTTGGCATCGGCAGATGATTCAACATGTATAAATCACTCAGACGTGTTTGTCTAGGAAAACTTTTTCATCGCGCAAAAATTGATTCAGTGTCATCACCACGGTGAATATTTCTATTTTTTTATTCTTTGTTTCACCTCGTTTTGCTCTCATTTGATTTTACCGTTTCAATGGCTTTTTTGCCGAACTCGGCAAAGTTTTTTTCCGTTGAACAGAAGTTGGTTTGCGACGTCGTTTCATCTTCTGTCAAGTAAATTCAGCAGCACACTTTAAACAAAACTTTTTTGTCGATTCTCACCGAATAATAAATATTTCAAAACTAACTGTATCGACGGATCAAGAAGAGAAAATAATGTAGGCGTCCGATCACTTCGATTGTTGTTCAATGTCTGCGGCTGATGCGTATCTCACTTTGCCATGGCTACTAGCTCTGTAGTTTTAGTTTCATGTTTGCACATGCCGTTAACGGTATGTTGTTTTGTTCGGACGTATTATTAGTGTGATTTCAGGAAATGCGAGTGTTCGATGACAAATTTTTATTGAGTTGTCAGCACAATTTAAACAAAACTTTTTCGTCGATGATTTTCACTGAATAATAAATGTTTTAAAACTAAACTGTATCAACGGATTAAGAAGACAAAATATTGTATGCTTCCGATCACTTCGATTGTTGTTCAATGTCTGCAGCTGATGCGTGTCTCACTTTGAATCAATATGCAATGGCTACTAGCTCTGTATAGTTCTATTTTCATGTTTACACATGCCGGTAACGGTATGTTGATTTGTTCGAATTGGAAAACAATCGAACGTATTGCTAGCACTATTGCGTAGTAACAGCAATCGTTTTGGCTTGGTGAGTGTGTATCTTAAAATTTCAATCCTTTTGCAATTCAAACGTAGTTTTTTGGTTCTTCGTAGCGTCAAACTGAACACATCTTCTTTTCACTGGCTGGCTAAAATAATATACACACAAATTTATCAAACATTAGCACTTATTACAGAATTCAAATCAACTCACCAAAATGTGTGTCTCTCTTTCTCTCTCTCTCTCTCTCTCTCTCTCTCTCTCTCTCTCTCTTTGTGTGTGTGTTACTGCTCTTGTAAGTCAGTCCGTTCGCTGCCCAATGTAATGTCGCTTTGACGTTGCTCTGATGCTGATGTGTTTACACCGGCTCATCTCTCTACTACACAGCAAATCAAAAATATTTGTCAACAATCTGTTTTTTT